GTTGCGTCACAACATGACGCTCAAAAGAAATGCCCATACAATCATCAATAAGAATGGGGGCTAACGCCGGCGGTGGATCAACAAGTTCATGCATACCCAGGGGATAGACGAGACTGTGCTTCGAGAGCCAGTTCGCGGCTCTATTCCCCTCCCGATATACATGCCCGATGCTGACCAACCAATCCTGCGCCAGACTCCTCCGAATCGAAGCCAACAAAGAGGCGTAGGGATGAACGGGATCATGATGACTCTTAATTAACGAGATAGCCAACTGCAAGTCCGACTCAACAATAACACAGGCACACCCAGCTTTCCTGGCGAGTTGGAGGCCATAGTAGACAACCTAGAGCTCGGCAAGGGTCGCCGAGGCTTCAACCACTTTAGCAACGAAGCCCCAGATCCACTTACCATGCTCATCGCGGATAATACCCCCAGCTCCGGCTAGCCCTGGATTGCCCACCGAAGCACCATCAACGTTAAGTACCCACCCATTTCGAGGGAAGTTCCAGTGGATCTGCGTCTCCACCCTCTCTGGCTTGGATCCCTGGCGGCCAAAGCTCACCGTGGGGGCCTGCCAAGCCTTATGCCATAAAAGAGCCCTTTGATGGATGGAGAAAGCAAGGGAAGGTGCTGACAGCGCCTTATGCAGTCCCTGGAAACAACCTGTACACCTGTTCTTCCTTGAGAATGTTGGCACAGAACCAGTCTTCCTGGGTGTTGAGAAAGAAGCTCTGATGCTCCGCCTGCGGAATCCACATCAGCCAAAAGAAACGAGCAGGGTAGCAGTCACGCAATAGGTGGATGATGGTCTCTTCGTAGTTCCCGCATCTTTGGCACATGGGGGACTCCACACACTTACGAGAGTAGCGAAGAACATTAGTCGCAATGCGCCCTAAAGACACCAGCCACGCGAAACACCTGACTCTTTCTGCAACCGGAGCTTCCAAATGGCTCTCCGCACCTTTTCATTTGGATCATTCCTCGGAGGCAAGGCCAGACTGTAGGCCGATGAGGTTGAGAACTGACCATTCGAGGAAGCGGTCCAAAGAATAGTGTCCTCTTCCAGAGACAGGGGATCCACATGGCTTGCCGTGATTTTTTGAAGCATAACAATCTACTACTTCATGTAATTACCACCTTATCATGAACGTGATTAGTAATATGGAAAATGTTAATTTCAATAATTTTGATCATAGACAGGCCATGTTAAGTGTAGGGATGACAAAAAGGATCCAATACTCGGATATTTGCCAAATCTAATTTATTATAGACCAAATCAAGTTTGAATAATTTTATTTTAGGATCACACATCCATATCCAATTTTTAAGTTTTGGTCTAAAATTTGACTCTTAATATCAGAATTCCAAAATAAAATGGGTGCACGATTATAATGCAATTCTTGTATATTATTTTGTTATGAAACAAGTAGAAAGGTGGAAACAACTAAAATAAAGGTGTATTATTGGGTTGAACGTAGTTAATGAAATGATTGGTATTATTTTTATGTGTAATATACAATCATGAATCATGTAGACCTAATTAGACCTATTTGGGTCTAACTCACATGAAATGACTAAATTGTAAAAAAAAAAGAAACTCAAAAAAGATATAATTCAAACCCAACGTAACACAAAATTATTAGAAGTGTATGTGAGTCTATTATAATGCGATCCAATACTTATATGAGTCATGATAATTGGGTAAAAGCAACACAGATAGTAGCCAGTCTACCCTACTAGATTGAATCAATGAATTGAAAGGATGTTTGTGTAATATTAAAGACTTTTTGACAATGTGTAATATTAAAGACTTAATTAATGATAAACTTCAAAGTGAATGCACCCATTGAGACGTGCTACTGTTCAACAACGAAGACATCCATGAATAATACTAGGAATTAGCCCGCGCTCTGCCGCGAGGTATGTTGATTTAAGTTGTCAGTGTAAATGGGGATGTTAAACCGTGTGGTTTCCCAACCTACACCAATCATCATTGTTGATAAACCAAGAACAATAAGATAGCTAGATGATGCACTGTAGTTCAGCGCACATAAAACGTACTGGAGATTTAGTTTGCCAAGCAAAGAAGCCAAAGGCAGTACAAAATCATCTTGTTCAAATCCAAAAGTCTTTGCAAGCTGAATAAGCAAACGTGCACACTGTTTTGTCTCCATGGAAGTTGGAGAACAGGAACTTAGTTCTAGAATGAGGATATTAGGGGTATATCAAGTGCACCAGCAAGTTTTCCCCTCATCAATGTAGACGATCACCTGTCCATTCTTGAGGTATGCCAAAGTGTTGCAACTCTTATGTGCGGTTTGACCGGTGAAGTTCTGTTTTCTAAATCTGAGCAACCGATGTATAGCTCCCCTGCAAACATTCTGCTACACTTTCTGATCAGCAATGCTTTGGCAGATTTTGTTTCGAGTTTTTTGTACTTGCTGGGGGACATTCCAATTATCGAGAGAGCGGCCTCATGGTCCAGTATGACATCAATATCATCATCTCCATGTTCACACTTGACTTCCAGCTGATAGTGCAAGCTAGTTATAGATATAAATGAGAGTTCTGGTTAGCTTATTTGTTGATATATTAATAAGCATAAGAACTGTTCACATCGAAACAAAAAATTACTTCGGCCATTGCTCAGTTGTTCGGCAAATGCTACTTCGAAACTTCAATTGTGATATGGAAAACTTGGCACGGTAAAGTATCTAACACAAATGGCAATTTATATTTTAATATATGTGCGTATGTAAAATTTCTGTGCAAGCTGTTGGCAAGGTAGATATATTTAGTTCCCAACGTACCTTGTGGTGGCTCTCATCAGATCCAAGCACAGCTTTAATGTCAGCGAGTGATTTTTTCTCAATTCCTGGTCGAAGGTAGCCTGTTTTCACACCGGTGTCGGCATCCATGTAGTAAACCTGTTTGCGAATATGAAGGAAACTGGATTGCAGGAAAAATACAACAAACCATTAGTTTTGTTTCAATTGATTGGCAATACAAATTAATTGAGATATGAACAGCATATGTGAATAGAGAAGTGTACATGTGCATAATTTCCTTGACCGAGTGTGTGTAGGATTCCATCTTCAGAGAACTGGCAGGAGTTGATTTGAAATGGTACTTGTATTTCTGGTTGGGCAGAGGTGGCACTCGAATGACATATTTGATTGTAACTATGAGAGGCAAGTGAGCTTCAGCCGCAGGTGCATTTTCTAAGAACCTTAAGATGTCATATCCTTGATAATCAACCATTGCCTTGGCGCCGCTGTTTACGTGGACAAATATTAAGTTAGTGGATCCATAGAATTCAGAAATGAACACATTATTTTGGAAAATGTACCTCACATCCTGTACAACCATGCGAAATTCTTTGAGAATACCACGAACTGTAGTGGGAACACTCAGACGCCTGATACACACAGTGATGTCTGTTGTGAACAAAAATGTTTGTCATTTTAAAGTTTAGATTAATCTTAGTATGGTAAACAGAGATAGTCAAATGTACCTGTATGGTACTCAATGGTGTCTGTTTGAAGAGGCACTATCGAAAAGACTATCCCAATATCCCAGCCAATAGGGAAGCGCGGGTCTTCTGGGTCTTCTTCAATCCTTGAAATATTTTGTTCGGGAGTTATGTGCAACCTTAACTCTCCTGGAACAATCCTCGGATTTTCCCTCGCTGGTATCGCCAGAACTGAATTAAACTGATAAAGCTTCCCGATCTTTATTCTGCGAGATATCTCGGTGATGTCTCTTTCACCAACCATTGACTCAATCAATAGTTCCTATAAGAACAACACTTGAGCTAGTAATACTGTACAACGCATTTTGTCGAAAGTCATTAATGAAAGGACTGTGTCATTTTGTAATTGGATCGTAACAAACCTTTTTATCCATCCAAATTATGTGCATGGTCAGATCTTTAAGTTTGGGTGCTTCTCGGAATTCAAGCCATGTAAACACAGGTCTAGCAATAACTGTGCGAACGTTGGTGCCCAAACGCAATCCCCTAAATGGCATGCAGGTTTCAATCGGGTCTGTAAGACAATAAAGGGAAACAAAAATGGGTATTTTATCTGTTTTGCAGAGGATTCGAGATTCTCATGAGGATTTATTTACAGAAATGGAAGGCATGCACCTTTGTTATCGGTGGGGACCATGTGACCGCCCTCTGTGGACTGGTCTTTTTCGGGTAAGCTCTCCATGTTAGGTGGGGTCTGTGGGCAAACAGCAGAAGTACCGATGAGCAGTAATTCTCGAGATGTAAAGGCGGTGAAGAAGAGGGGGACGTGGATTTACCTTGGTTTAAAAGATTGTCTGGTAGCTTCAGTGGTGGGGCTTTACGCGGCAGAGAAGGGTTGATGAAGATGTGGACGACTGGTATGGTTGGTGAGGGATGGTAGGGTTCAAAGGGGAGGTTCGATTGGAGCGCTCATATTGGGCGGGTTTACGATGGGCCTTTATCTGTAGCCCTAAAGCACCATTTGGGCTGGGCTCAAATGCACTTGTTGTCATAAAATGCAAAAAGACATGTCAATTTAAGAAGTAGACCAGGCCCTAACACGTTTGGTCCACAGTAATTAACGCTACAACGGATTTAAGCGTCTTCCTTGTTCGAAACACGAAGGACACAGCAGTGGCACACAAAGATTACCATAGTGTGGAATGAAGCTGAACTGAAGTTGCCGAACTGTATTACACATCAAAAGCAACGGCACACAAAGATTGGCACACTGTGGAAGTTTTGAATCAAAATAGTGTTAATTTATGTGTTTAAACTTCTAGGCTTCCAATCCAGACCAAGAAGACACAACCAAACCAGTTTGAAGTTGTGGCTGCGCCAATAGTAGCAGACAAATATGTGAAAAGGGCATGAAATGTTAGCTAACACGGTTGTAGTTTTGATAGTAGATTAGATAAAGATAATCATTTGTAGTTTTGTAAACTACCTTCATGCAATGCACAGCAGGTGCACAACCCACCCTGACCTATTAGACAGTGAGGACATCACTGAATGCCTCTGCAAACACAATGTTTCTTGTATAGTTGTTTGGAAGTTCTGCTGGATTTTCTATTACCATTCGCAAACCTGTTGCTGATCGTACCCTTGAAACTCCCACGTAGAGTTGTCTATGGCTAAATACTGGTTCTGGCAAATAGATTCCGACTTTGTCAAGCGTCTGTCCTTGGCCCTTATTTATTGTCATTGCATAACATGTGCGAACTGGGAACTGACGTCTTTTGAGTATAAACGGCCACTTGGAGTTCTCAACATTGTGAATAATTTTTGGGATTATGACTTCGTCGGTGTCATAAGAACCTCCCATGATGTTTCCCTTCATGAAATTGTCACTCAACATTGTGATCATAATCCTTGTACCATTGCAAAGACCCAAAGCTGGGTTCAAGTTTCGCAGCAGCATAGCTGGAGTGTTTTTCTTCAATGTAAGTTCATGGTTTGACACTCCATTGAATGTAAGTGTGTTGAGAAACTCAGTTGGGTAGCATTCGTCGAATGTAGATGATGTGTCTGTGGATTGCAGCAATGAATCAGAACTATAATACGTCTTTGAATCACCAGGAACCCTTTGCATCATATAATCATTAATCTGAGACACGGTTGCATTCCTTGGCGCAACTATTGTCCTGTTTTTTAGATATGCTGGGCGCATATAATTGGTGTCAAATGATTCGTATATATCATCTGCAATTGCTTCAATGTGATTTCCCTCATGTTGTATAAGAAACAACTTAGGTATTTGGGCTAAATTACACATTTGATCACTCGAATTACATAAATATTTCATGTTTGCCACTCGAATTACTTTTCTTTCTTATTCACCACTAACTTTACAAATCATTTCACCGTTGGTCACCGACCTTTAGTTTCCGTTAGACACCGTTAACTCCGTCAGTTTTCTGATGATGTGGCAAACAGAAATGCTGACTGGACCGTTAACTTAGTGACATGTAATTTAAAAAAAAAAAGTTGACCGCCTGGTCAGCCTCACCCAACCCAATCAATAGTACAATTTCTAAATTCCCTTTCCTCTTTCATCCATCGCTGACCTCTGGAAATGGAGGGGCGGAGACGATCCGTCGTCGCCACTCGCCACCATCAAACTCTGTTGCCCACAACCAAAACCCATCCCCTTTCTCCGCCGCCCTCAATTTCAATCTCAACCACGATGACTCATCCCCCTCCACAGTAGACGATGAATTGGACGCGGAAAAAAGGGGTGATGGTGATAGAAAAGGAAGGGATGTTTGAGAAGTCGTCGACTCCATCCGATGTGGGGAAGCTACTCGGGATTTTGCTTGTGGGGATTTGGTCGGATAGCAAGTTGTGGCTGGGGTCGATAGACTGTACCAATGTAGGAATGGGTGATTTAGGGATGAAGATGGTTCCCGTAAGGGAATTTCGAGAGGAGCTGGAGGTTTAGAGGGTCGAAAATGAAGGAGGGATTGAGCCATCGAGGCGATTGCCGGCTAGGGAGACGGATGCTGCCTAAGCTCGGATGGATGGGGCCTGCGAGGGAAGATAGCTTAAGGCGGCAACGGCTGTGGGGGAGATGGCGGGATCCCCAACATCGGCTTCAATTGTGAGATCCACAGCTAGCGAACGCTCTCGGATCTGGCAGAGGCGAGCTTGATGTTGTTGCCCTCGATCAACACGGCGACGGAGTGGCGCTTCCTGGACGAAGAACAGAGGAAGTTTGAGAGGAGGTCTCAAGGGTTTGGGGATTTCTTTCAGATGATTCAGACGGCCGCGAGTGGAGGAGAAGAAGGAGAAGTGGAAGGGTAAGACGAAAGAGGGGATGAGAAGGATTGTGATTTAATTTTCTTTTTCTTTTTAGCTCTTAAGAAAATGTAGAAAAATTAAATATTAAGTTTTGGTCAATTGGATTGGATGTGGCCGACTAGGCGGTCAATTTGTATGACTCAGCCTTTTTGTGAGCCCACTTAATAGTTCTGTTTGCCACATCATCAAAAAGTTAACGGAGTTAACGGAATCTGACGGAGGTTAACAGCCGGTGACTAACGGTGAAACAATTCGTAAAGTTAGTGGCGAATAAGAAAGAAAAGTAATTCGGGTGGCAAACGTGAAAGATTTATATAATTTGAGTGACCAAACGTGTAATTTAGCCTAGGTATTTGTATCCAAACAAAACAAAACATTCACCTCTCTGAACTATTGAGGTACAAACATCAGGGACTTCCATATGGACTGAACAGAATAACCAGCGGCCAGTCAATGGTCGAAGTGAGTACATCAGTGAATTTCCAAAAAACCAGAGTAGTTAGGGAAAAACAATAAGTTTTTTTTACAGAAAACAGAGCAACATGTCTTGAATAGATAACATACATAATTATAAATAAGCTGCCCCGACAAACTAAGTTCCAAGTAGAACAATTTTTAATCACACGAAAGCTTTCGGGTTCCAGATTGAAGCAATTCGGATTGTAGGAGGATTTCCTGAAGTCCCAGGAGCAACATAAGCTTCAGCCATAAAAGGCACATAACACCTGTCTTGAATGCACTGATATCCTTCTTCATAGGTTAGACTGAAAAGTTCCTCAGGTGAAACCCAAACCAAGCCCAACACAGGCTCATGATCAAACACAACATCAACATATTCTCCCTCACACTCACATGTTGCTTGTAATTCATATCGTACCCTGAATTAAACAATAAAAGGAACGTTTTGATTTTACTGAAATGCAATGGACAACAGATTATTAGCAAAACATAAAGTTGAATCATACCTTGGAAAACCTGAACAGGATTTAAAGACTTCTGGACCGTATGTAAATCTTGTCATTTCCAGCATACAACGATAGAGAGCCTGAAGGAAGGAATTTGTGTTATAATAGGTAAAAGATATGACTATATATTTGGGATATGTGTTATCCAATACAATCAGAACAACAAATATGATACATATACTTGGTAGGCCTGTGCATGGAACATTATATCATCATTTAGCTGCCTTAGTGTTCTTTTGGGAGGAAGAAGACCACGGAGATAACCAATAGAGCAGCGAGAAGTGCTATTGATGTAAGTCACTGGCATTCGATCACCTATGAACCTAAAAAGCAAAAAGAATGTTCATATTGTTTTTCTAGCATCCAACAGAGCAGGGCTGTCAATATATAAACATAGAATTCGAATATAATAATACCTATTTATGATTTTCTCATAATGGTGATTGTAAGAAGCAATGATCAGACGACTTCCAGGTGAAGATTGAAATACATATGCATCTCTAGTTCCATCTGTAATTGGCAACCTTGTAACAGCAGTAATTGTGGTAATGAGAGGAAGCCGAGCTTCAGATTCGCCTGCAAACTCCAAATACTTTGTAACCTCAGTTCCAGAGTAGTACACTGTCGCCTTGTCGCCTCTACACAAATAGAAAAATATCAGTTAATCCCACATAAAGTCTAACAAAGAAAAGTCAGCACAAGAATACACAAGAAACCTGCTGTTTTCTATGATGAGCTCAAACCTAAGAACACCATTACTTGAAAATTCTGGATTTTTTAGATGAACAACGCAACCCGTAACATCTGCAATTAAATTCATAGTAGCAAATAATCATGAATACTTTTTGTGAAAACAACTTTCGAGGAAGATACCTCCATAATTCACAACTGCTTCTGCCTCTATTGGAACAGCCGAGAACGAAGTTTTCAGAAAAGCATTGACAGGAAACTTTGGATAACCCGGATTGTCAGGCACACAAAATATGATCTATTCACGCCTTATGGCAAAGCGAACTTCGGCGGGAACAACACGCCTGTTTTCCCTTGCATGAATAACATGAAAGCCATCCAGAACATGTAAATCTCCTACTTTAAACTTATGTTGCATTTCTTGAATGTCATCTTCCTCAATACAGGCCTCTAGCATATGTTCCTGTTAAATGTGATCTAGTGCATTACTACAATAAAATCAAACATAAACAATAAATATTACATCATATAGACGAATGACAGACCTCTTTGTCAAGACACAGCACATGCATTGTTCTTTTATGCCCCTGAGAGTCATCACTATACTCAATCCATATATTAAGAACTCGGACGATCATAATATCAATATAAGCACCAACGCGTAGACCACGAAACACCTTGCATGTGGAAATTGGGTCTGTGGTAAACGAAAGACAATGAAAAACCCCAAAACTTCACACCTCGGCAGTGTTCATTCATAAACCAACAAATAGAAACTTGAAACAGAAAGCAACAGAGTCGATACCTCGTGGAAGAGTTGGAAGTTTGAAATCACGCGGCATTATACAACGATGCCTGATATGGCAAGACAATAGAAGATCAAAAATTTGTTAAAGTGTCAAGAAGCAGAAACAGAATGCAAAAGGGAAAAGTATCGGCGATCATACCCCATGAATACACGACTATCTCTGATCTCGAAGTTGAGAAGTACTGTAGTTCCTGGGAAAAGAAGTTCAGAGAACAGGGGAAGTTAAAAAGGCAGAATCAGAACTGAAATGAAAAGGTGGTGGAAGTTGGTCCCTAAAACGTTTTCGCACCACCATTATAAAATCATAAATTGAATATTCAATGGGCCATCAATTGTTCCCCTAATGGACCGAACAACTATAGAATGGGCTTCCCAAAAGCTAGAGAAACTTAATATAAGCATAAAGGCATCTCCTATTCGGGCTAAATATGAGAATACTGGGCCCAATTCATATATCTACTTATATATCGTAAAAGAGGGCCCGTTACTTATATTTATCTATCCGGTCAACAAGTTTGACCGTCTGATTTAACGGTCAAACCCGCCTCCAGGCCAAATGAGGAAGTTTGCTACATAGTTCAGGCCAGAATAGCAATTTCCAATACCACGGGCCAAAGTAGAAAGTATATGGATATTTCGGGCCAAACTAGAATAAGCACTTCAACTAGCAAATAATAAATATAGTTAGAAATTTCCATACCAATCTTTGGGCTTTTATTGTGAGATGAATTAGAATAAGCACTTCAACTAGCAAATAATAAATATAGCTTTCAATTTTAAAATGAGGAGGAAAAGAGAGGGGAAAACGAAGAAAGAATGGTGAATTGGTGATATTAGTCATTATTTTATATATATATATCTAACCTTCTAGAAACATCTAACTTAAATACTAAAATAAGTTAATTAATATAATAAGATAGAACAATTTTCTATGGTTTTGACAAAATAGCTATTGAGATATAATAAAGTAGTCATTTGTTAATAATAAAAACAGTCAATTTTAGTAATGTGCCTTAGAAAATTAGATAACATATTTTCGATAATAATTCATTGCAGGATTAACCGTAAAGAGCACGTATCCTGCCTTGTTGGTTTGAGTCCACAATGTGATTTTCTCAGTCGACGATGGCGGGCTTCATAAGCTCCTTGGAATGAAGCTGAAGGACGGGAAAGGGTGTTGGACCAGAGGTGAAACATCTAAAATATTATTATTTACAATTTTAGTATGACTAGAATATGATATATAACAATACGATTTTAACAAATTTGAGTAGAATTACATATAATTTAAAACAAAATGTGTTGCGAATTGAACAATTCCGGTCGAATCAGGTCGGGAAGAATACTCATCTGGTGGATGTTACCGGCGCAAAACATATTAAACAGACCCGATGGGCGATAGGACGGGTTTGGGTCAGGTTGAAATTGGAGAGACATAGGATTATTCAAACTAGAAAAGCCCACGATGATGAAAGGGCCCAGAAGTCCAGGAGGGCGAATAGGTCACTTGGTAGCAAAGTTATACTACAGGGGCTTAGTTGC